AGTACTGAGTAAAAGTGAGCAGTTAGATTTTCCAAAATGACATTTATTGGGAGGCGACTTCTCCAAAAACTATATTTTCTAACAGCGTGCAGCTGTGATGKGTTGTGTACAAGCTAATAGTGTGTCAGAATGGTATATATTTATACTTCTCATCCAAACACAATTAAATTCACTCTATCCAGGAGACACAGTTTATCAGGTTAATATTTTTAAGTAATAACTCAGAATAAAATCAGAGTAAAAACTTTCTACTTCTTACCTTTTTAAAAAATGTAGTGAGTAGAAAGTACAGATAATTGTGTAAAAATGTAATGAGTAAAAGTAAAAAGTACGCTGAAAAATAATTACTCAAGTAAAGTACAGATAACCAAAATTTCTACTTAAGTACAGTAACAAAGTACAGTATTTGTTTTTAGATACTTTATGTGTGGAACGAATAATGAAAGCTTTTGTTGCAGCTAATATCTCTTCACAGCGTCTCTGTGGAGTCAGAAATGATGAAAAGCACTCACACATAGATGTCTTCTAGGCTGTTTGCCAGTTGTGCCCTCTCTGAGCCTCGCAGCCACGCTGCACTACAAAAGCCAAGAACAAACACAGGTTATTGAGTGGGATGAAGAGTGGGATGCTGCTCTTTCAAATCAGAGCTCCCCTCCCATAGTAAATCTGAAAGGCAAATAAACTTACTTGATCTGATAGATGGGTGGAGCTGTGCTTGGATAATCAGGTGGGAGAATTATCTGATCAATGGAGAAAAGAATTATAAAGTGCTTCACAACAAACAGGAGGAGCACTGAGATTGTTTTTTTTTTCCTGCACCTGCAAACATGCTGTCAGTTTTGGCTTCTCAGTGTTGTTGGATATTTGGATGCAAAATACTCTGGACGCTTCATCTATCACACACCATTCATCCCCATAGATGGAAGACAAAGCCTCAACCTCTTCTGTCTAAAGGAAAAGGAAATGATAACAAAATCAAAACATAAATTAAACAATATTATGGATTCATCAGAATGATAACTGAAACAGGACAAGTCAGAGGGTTTGAGATCTCACATAGTTTTTGTTAAAACACAAAGTGGAAAAAACAATAAAAAATGATTTTTTTGTTATACAGTATAAAATCTTCTGTAGTTACTAAATACACTGTTAGATTAAAATATAGTTAACCAACCAGATGGCGAACCAGCCACTAAGATCAACATAAGGATGGCTGTTTGTTTTCACTAAGTGAATAATTACCCATGTAAGATACTGTACATAGATGACAACAAGATCAACRCAAAACTGTTCAGGAACTCTGAAATTGTCGATGGAAGAGCGGATATTATTGTTGAGGAAGTGAAGCAACTATTGACTGAGAAGAATTTAGATGGAAAAAAAAACTTGCAGCACAGGGGCGGTTCTAGGGGCAGGGCCACAGGGGCATTGGCCCCATCTGAAATCTGATTGGCCCCTGAAGTGCCCCTATCCTGTAACTCATCTGTCCTTTACCTGGCAGTGATGATGGTGGACGCAGGTGTAGCAGGAGCATAAGGAAACAGTTCCACACCAGAACTTTGAATCAGTACTTCCTCATCCTCCCATATCTACAGAGAACAATCGCCCCTTTGCCTCCACTGTCTACAAATGCTAAAATAAACAGGAACTGCAACCTTCCATTGATTAAGCCCTGTTGTGAGATCCCTTTTAAGTGTTCAAAATGGCAGTTTATCACAAAGGACCCACCATTTGCCAGACAGAGAGTCTCCAGAAGTGGGTTTACAATCCACATCTAGACCCTTATGCTGCGTTCACACCGAACGCGATTTCAGCTTCAAAATCGCAGCCAACGCTGAAGTTTGAAGCTTGTGCACTTTGAGGTCAGACGCAGGTCAGCTCTTGAAGCGCTGCACGGGAACAGCCTCCCCGCCCCTCCCTCCTCTGTCGGGCTCTGTTTAATGTCGGACGAGGAAGTGGCTTTGCTTTATTTACAGAGAGCAAGAGCATGTCACGTTCATCAGATAATTAATTCATAATTAATCCACCAGATAATTCAGAGTAGAGGCTCACAGCTCGCTTTCAGGACTATTTTTCCAGTCTGATGAGCTGCTGCCATGCACTGGTGCGGGATATCTCTGTCAGGACACCGACTGCAGGCACTCGATTTCAGCTAAAGAGCTCCTCTCCATCTGTTTCAGGTTAGTGGACATCATTCAGTAAACTGGCCCGTCGGGAAATATGTTGCTACGTCACACAGTGGAGTCTCTCTGATTGGTTGATGCTGCGCGTCGAGCTAAAAAAGTTCAGATTTTCTAACTACAGCGATTTGCGCCTCAGCGCGTCGAACGCTCAGATCGTTTAAATCGGTCAAATCGCGCTGCTCTAATCGCGCTTGAGGCGTCGCAGCATTTCCAGACTTTGTTTGAAGTGCGTCCACCACAGACTTTGTATGTAAACCTGCTGCTCCTGATGCTGAAATCGCGTTTGGTGTGAACGCACCATAAGAGACTGTGTTCCCTGCTGAGATAACGCCCACGAACAATCTTCAAAGACATACCTAACATACATTCATTTATGGTCTTAGAGCGCCCCTAAAAGGCTCATAATCACATCGTGAGTAAATGTTTTTCTGAGTAAATTTCTGTAGTTTCTCTGATAAAAAATGAAGAAAAAGAAACAATGTATTTTTCTAACATGACTCAATCACTGTGATAATATCTTGATTTAATCACTGTACAGGTAACCACATCAATCTTTGTTTTATTTAATCATTTTGGCAGCAGAAATGTGATGTCAGTGAAGCAGGTGACATCCCTTTGTGACTATCTCTCAGCCAATCAGAAGTTTGTAAAGTCAGGACAAGAGATAACATTTTTTTATTATAGAGAGAGTTTGAAAACAGCAGCGAGAGAGAGCGGATCAGGAGTTTTAAGCTCCAATTCTCCCCCTTTGGGGACATTTATTTTCTTTTATTTTGTTTTCTTTATGTTCATTTGTACTTTTGAAGGAGTTATTGGGAGGACGCAGGCTTGTGCAGGATTCAAGATTGATGCTCATTCATAAAGTCAGAACTCAGTCCGGGCTGCAGAACGTGCCAACAACTGTAGCGTGTGCTGAAAGAGGTTCGCCAACCCTACCGAAGCACCAGTTTATCTAAATGGGACTTTGTTTATGCCAGTCCATGGTGAACGGTCAAACCGGAGGTAAGACAAGGCTTTTGACCGAAACCCGTTACAAAGTACCCCCAGAGGTCTGAAGACTGCTCCGGATAAGCAACGCTGAACTCCCCGGCAGCTTGGTGTGTTCTCTCTCTATTATGAATTAAATCAGTTTAAAATTAACGCAGGCTGTGTTCTTCCCCATAACTTGGTCCTTTATAGTTAATCTAGATAATGATTCTTCAATTGTGCTTTAGGAAAGTTCATTTATTCTGCTAGGGTAGAAATAGGTTAGAATAAGTGATTCAGTAACAGATGATATGAGAGTTATTTGTCGGGTGAAGAGTTCACGTTATTATTAGTCATAGAGATTATGATAATAATTGTGTTTCTGTCTGCCCAAATAACCTGTCTGTATTGTTATCTCTGAATCCACAATATAGGGTACTATATGTGAAATCTATGCTTTGTCTCCGCGTCTTGTTACTCGTGTTTACCGTCATGAACTGAAAAGCGCTCCGTCCTTCAGTATATGAGATTAAGTCAGAATTACGAGATTAATTTCCTGTTATAGTAACAGGTGGTGCCCCCTTTATTATATTAATAAATTATAAGAAAACATAATTTAGCAACTTTTCATTAATTAAAATCCTCCTACACAGGATGCAAACACTAGTTGCGCTAATGAGTCAAATAGTAAAGTCCAGAATGAATCAAGCTTACAGAATTCTTCTTCTCTTCTTAAGAAAATTTAAACAATCCTGCAAAAAAATAAAAAAGTCTTTCAACTGACAAATGATGGCTGGCTTTTCTCACATGTTGTGTGTTTGAGAATATTTTATCTATGTACAGTAAAATGTATGAAAAACTGATGAGGAGAATTTACTGTGCAAGCCTTTTTTGGTACCACTTTACAATAAGGCTCCCCTTACAGATGACTTATAATGAGTTTATAGAAAGCTTATCTGTAAACACTTTATAAATCATTAATAAATGTTTATTATGCAATAATTAAGGACGAGAGAGACAAAACTGTCCAGTTTCTTACCAAATAATGAGACAAATTTGTTCACGTACATATTACATCTAAAGGTGCTTATTAAACATCTTCAGACTAGGTTACATTGTAAGCACAATAACGACAAGAAACACATATTGCACTATATTACTGCTTTATAAATATTCACAACTGCCAATGGGAGACTTATCGTAAAGTGTAATACAGTACACTATTTATTACTAACAAACAATTATAAATGCCAAAAGTTAGCCTTTAATGTGAAAAATCATAATTTTTAAAACTTTGTGTTGATTATCAATATTTGAAATTATTATTCAAAAATGTAACTGTCAACAATGATGCATCAAAAAACTAAAAAAAAGCGTCATGTTAACATACCGACCCATCCAAAATAGTGTGCAGTTTTACACCTCACAATAAGGATCCCTTTAATATTTGTGGATATTTATAATGTAGTACTACAGTACAATATTATATGTG